TCTTTTTTTTCCTGAAATTATTATTCTTCTCATAAAGCATACTATAAATTAATGGGTGAAAATACTATAAATTAATAAATAATTTACAAGGATATGTTTGTAGCTGCTATTTCAATAGGAAGATATTTTTATTTTCTTGTATTTTCCTGGAAAATATGGTAACATTTGAGCTGTGGACGTGTGTGGGTTTGCAGAGCTGCTGAAATTACCTCCAAATTCACCAGAAGCACAGATCTTCACCCAACCACAAAAAGCAACGGAAGGGAGCGCCGCCGATAGTACCGGTACTGAACTTAATTTCCTACTGGATTTATGTTATTTTGATCTCTTCTTTCTTAGAATGAGACTTATAATTTTCCCGTATTAGTATACTGTATCTTTCATCATTTTCTATTTATTGGCGCTCTAGATTTCATAATGACCCTGACACATCGGAACAAGCACATTGAAACACTTTACTCTTTCACATTGAAATAATGTTGGGACAAATCCGGGACCCAATAGAGCATGGTCCTAGCAAATAGTAGAGTAAAAAGTAATAAAATGAACACACAGATTTACGTGAAAAATCCCCTAAAATGAATTTGGGGTAAAAATCACGGGTAAGGATAGAAGAACCCACTATGAGAAAAATTTAGGAGTTACAATCTCTCTTTACAATGAGAAACTCTCTCTATTTTTCTCTCTCCCTCTTTTTTTCACTCTTAATTGGAGACACTTGGATGATCTGAACTTAACCCTAGGGAGAGCTATATATATGTGAGTTTGTGGTAGGTGCGCACTGTTGCCACAGTGTTGCTACAATAATATTTAGTGGGTTTGCGGTTTGTGATTACTGTAGCTGATAGGTGTTTACTATTGACAGTAACTTTTCATCAGTCTCCCACTTGAAAATTTAATTGAGTATTAATCATATCTTTACACCATTCTTTCTATCTTGTCATCTTCATGTTGCTCACGTCTCCGACAGACCACAAGAGGATCGACACCAAATAAAATTATTGTAGTGAGTAGGTGTAACTGTTTACTATTGATGGAAGGTTAATGTGTCAACAGAAACGCCTACTCACTATAGGAATCACCAATCACAAATCCACTAAATGTATTGATGGAAAGTTATTGTGTCAACAGTAAGCACCTATCCGCTACAGTAATCACCAACCGCAGACCTACTAAATGTTACTATAGCAACACTGTAGCAACAATGCACACCTACCACAAACTCACCAATATATAGCTCTCCCCAACGTTAAGTTCAGATCATCCTAGTGTCTCCAATGAAGAGTAAAAACAAACTTGTTAGGACAAACCCAGGGCCCAATAGAGCAGGGTCATAACGAATATTAGAGTGAAAAGTAATAAAATGAACACATAAATTTTCATAGAAAACATTCTAAATGAATTTAGGGTAAAAACCACAGGCAAGTATAAGAGAATCCACTATGAGAAAAATTTAGGAGTTACAATCTCTCTTTACAAGAAGAAACTCTCTCTATTTTCCTCTCTTTCTCTCTCCCTCTTTTTTTCCACTCTTAATTAAAGACACTAGAATGATCCGAACTTAACAATGGAGAGAGCTATATATAGGTGAGTTTGAGGTATGTTACTATAGTGTTAATACAATAATATTAGGTGGGTCTACAGTTGGCGATTACGGTAACGGGTAGGTGTTTACTGTTGGCACGGTAACTTTCCATCAAACAATGAACTAGTTCCTTATGCATCACATCAAGTTTGGTATTTTTATTAGGAATCTTGCTTCACGTTTCCAGAAACCACAATTAAATCTTTATGCCCCTTTTCTTAATCTTGCTCATCTTGCTCTCTAATCATGATACAGTTAAAGGCGGCAACCCCACAAGCGCGCACGAAAGCAGTAGTGGCATAACTCATAATTTGGGGAGAGGGCGATGGTTGACAGTGGAGAGAGTTGGTGTGCTCCTATTCTTTGCTAGTGCTGCCTTTTCTGGTCTTTTAACTTGAGGAAAGAAAGAAATGTATTAATGACAACGTGTACTCTTGTTATATTGAGCTCCTCTTCTCCTCTTCTTCACTCTCATTATTGACATCGCTCTCAATTGTATTGTGCGGTCCCTTGTGTGATGAGTATAAAGCATGGGATCTTAGTCTATTGCTTTATTTATATTTAGATCATGGGTTGGTATTATGGGTGTGGGCAGGAGAAAAAGGCAGTTCCTTGATGGCATGAACATGATCTTAGGAAAGCTTGTTAAAGATATATAAGTAGGGAGATCATATCCTCTGCGTGTGAGGAGGCACCCAAAGTTAGGGGAAATGCTAGAAAAAGTGATAATTTCCAACTTTTTCACGGATAATCATGAAAAACATTGTTGAGACTGGAAACATTTTTGTGTCTACATCTAGAGTTTGCATGCAACTTGAAGATGAAACGCGTAGATGCTCGTTCATCGAAAAGATATATAACTGCTGCAATTTTCCCCCGTGATGTAAATAGTTTGTACAGATTTTCAAGAAAGGTCAAGTAAAAAGGCTAATTCCTAAAAGCTACTTCGTCCTCCTCATCTGCAGACAAGCAAGTTCTCCCGTGCTCAGAGCGTGGCCCTCCTGATGGAAAATTAGAAAACATATAATAATGCTAAACAACAATAAATTAAGATAAATTAAAAAGAACATATGCAGTAGGTTCGGATTTGACGCCTTTTCAAGAGTATATACATAACGTACCCTGCAAAGATTAACAAGCTTTAACATAATATGTACTAGGTTCAGAATTAGTGTAAAGACGACGATCAACTAATATTCAAGCACTTTTAACACACAGAAACTAGGCAAGAAATTAAAAAAAATAAAATGATTTTGCTCTTTGGATGTAGACAATATAATATGCTTTAAATTTTCAGCAGTGTCTTGTTAAGTCATAAAACGTGAGCAGAGTACAGTCATTTACTATGTGCATGCCATGTTATGCATTGAAAACTTCTGACAACCACTGGCATTAAAAACTTAACCTTGCCTAGTGAAAACTTTCTTCCAACATCCATGTTTTCTTTTGTATTTCAGTTTACTAGTGATCCCAGTAGGCCAGTACAACAAACCAGATCATGCATTTCTGTGATTTATGCTTGAGATAAAACTCAATGATGCTGGCGTACGTTCGATTAGAAAGCCGATCATGGGCTCATATCCAATCAATACGGGGGGAAGTGGCCTGCCTGGATCAATGGAAGAGTTTTGTTCAGGAAGAAAATCGGTGCGGCGTAAGTCTCATGTCGAATGATAACTGGATATATATAGTATAATAACTTTGGACCAGACGCTCCTTCCTCTTTAAGGCCATGTTAGCATTGAGTATTATTTTAAGTTAATAATCCTTTATCCTTTAAAATAAAATAGTAATGTGTTTGGTTCAAAATTTTAGGAGGGATTAGGTGGGACTACCTACAGACCGGAAAAGACACCATTGTCCCTCAAGTTTCTAAAATTTACCAATGCTCTTCATCTCTAATTCTTACCTCACCGATTTCAATAGTTGGATATGTCTATCAAGTCATAAGTATTTGCATATCAACCCTTCTAAATTTAGATATTTGCTAATACCCTTTTTTTCATGAACACAAAAAAGCAGAAAAGAAAAAAAATTGAAAAGTACGAAAAGAAGTCCTAAAATGAAAATTACAAAGAGACAAAAAGCTCTCTAAAATATAAAAATTACAAACAACCCCCTAAAAATCTAAATCCACCCACACACACACAAAGAAAAGAAAAGAAAAAAAAAATCTAAAAGCCACCTAAAATTCGAAAATTGATTCCTGAAGAAAACGAAAAAAGTACAAACATAACCTTAAGAACTTAAAAAATTACAAATAGCACCCTAAAAAATGAATTGCAAATAACTCTCTAAAAACCTAAAAATTATAAACAGACCCCTAAAAAATACTTAGCTAGTATATAGAAGGGCATTGTAGATACTTAATGTTGTGTTCTAATCTTATATAATGACAAGTTCCTAAATATGACATAAGTATTAAATGTGTTAATATCAAGCTGAACCAAACAAATTAATTAAAAATTTAACTCACCATAGTCCATTAGATTATTGTATCCCTAGACTACAGCGAGTTAAATGAGTCCTGGGATGAACCAAGTACCTAATCCGAACATGGTCTAGAGAGAAATTTGACTCTAATGATTTATGCTGTACATCTTGCTGCACATCAAATGTTTGTCAACCATCAGTTTTATATAACGAACTTATGACGCTTATTTGACACAAGAGATGGGCTATAATTAAAGACACTTATGGCTGAAAAATAGTTTATATTGCTATGTGCAAAAGTGACATCAAAAGATAGTTAATTGGAAGAAAACCACATGCTAAATGGGCCACTTAGGTACAAAAAGAAGACCTATCACCCTACAGTATAGTTTCCTTGAAATGAAAGAGATTGGTTCCGCTAAATTGCTACGAGTACGGGTGTTGTTTGTTAGAACCTATCTCTTGCGTCCAGTCAATTATGTGAGAAAGCTCAATTAGGTGAAGTCAACAGTTGAGCCAAAGAGGAATGGACTTCAACTTAGGTCGATATCAAGTAGAGAGATGCTTTGATATATGGTACATTAAGTTTCAAAACTCCATGATGATTTCAAGCACTGATCCTTCTTTTTGTTTATCAGTTCACAGCAGATCCGTAACAGGCACAGTTATCCTTAGCATGTTTTCCCCTTTTTTCCTGTTTTTTGATGAATGTGTGTGATAGGAATAAAGATAATAGTCTGGACTTGGATCTAGGACCTCCCACAATGCAACCCCAACTCTTCACTACCTGAGCCAGGGCTCAGGAGTTAGCTTAGTGCTTGTTGAGCTTGTTACCAATCGACAAGTGTTTTAGGCCTTGCGAATATATAAGGACTGGCCACCAAGCACTATGCAAGGACAACGATTAGAAAAGATAGTTTTGACTATTTGAACACACTACTCCCTAGCAAATTCTTTTGGAACTATATCCCATTAATTGATTGATTCTAAAAATATACACATACCAGACCAAGAAATATATATGTGCCTAATATGTCTATTTCCTTGGCCCTCATGTTAAGGGATTGATTTAATCAGTTAATATATTTCATCTCAATGCAAAACAGAAGATTGATTCTGTCAAAGTTCTACAAATTCAAACTGAGCCCTTGGTAAAACATTCTTATTTGTGTAGCCTTATTGTTCACTCGTTCTTCGAGAATGAACCTATAGTACCACTATGCATATCATGCCATTCCATTATCCAGAACTAAACGTATTCTACCAATTCACAATCAACATCGAAATGATGGACATCATGGTTTAAAGAAAATTAAAAATCATTTTGTTTCTCCAAATATTTTTGGTTAAATAAAGAACGGATTTTATCACTAAAAGACTGCTACTGCCTCAGTGGCCCTGAGGCCCAGTTTAGGAGGTTAGGAGGGAGGCAGATGAATCCTGACTCAAATAAAACCTCTCATAGAAATTTTCCTGGGTAGTCAACTTGGGGTTGCTTGCCAGTGGGTTGGAAAATCCTGGGTAAATTCAAATCCACAAATCCAGAGTACAGGGTCAAATTAATAGCAAACTCCCAGTCAAGTCATCTCTGCATAAGGATTGAGCCACAGGAAGACCAATCGCAAACACGATGGGATATTCCTCGAGTTAGGGGCAACAGGCAATCTAACACTTGGCACTGTATCAAACATGGAACTTACTGTGTCTTCCTATTTTATGTGTTTTTAGGAATTCGTCATGTATCTGTGTCCATGCAACATAGATTGGGGCCTTAAAAGGTCCCCTCATTTAGTACAGGATCCTCCGTTTTGGTCATACTCCATAAAATTCAGGACTCATAATCAGTTGCAACAAGCTAATGGAGTCATTTGCATCACAAGAAAGTAAACAGCTTAGATACAAGATCTATAAGCATGAGAGCAATTTAGTGACAAATTACTCCATTAGAACCCTAAAGAGCTCTAGTTAATTGCCACAATAAAATAGGTTTCCCAAATTACAGCTCCATTTTTATGCTAGGAATTGTCTTCAAAAAATTCCATGTAAATAAAGCTTAACATAACCTTATGAATCACAAAAAAATCTTTAATTTTATTATTAGTTTTCATCGTAAATTGTAATCAGGATACGCACCTCTCCAGTCAGCAGGCAGTCGTGATGGCGCAATAGACATTCCTTGGGAGTGGAACATGTAACTGTTCCCGTGTCCACCAAAACTTGGATTATCGTCACTTCCTTCACTAGGTGTCATCCTTCCCAATGAATCTTGGAAGGTTCTTAAAGGGGCAGGTGAGGTTGATGTAGATCCAGCTAGCACTGGTGCTGACATTTTGCTTCCTGCATTAACCATGCTCGAAGAAGCACTTGTATTTTTGCCAGGATCAATCAAGAAGGAACCAACAATAACCTGTTTTTTTTCCAATATTTCTTTTAAGACTATAAAGAAGTATAAGTTGAAACATAGAAGCAACAAAGAGCTTGGCGGTTTGACAGCACCTGAACTGGACATGCAGCAATTAGTGGTCCGCCAACTCCACCACCTACAATACGACCATCTTCTCCAGAAATGCATATGTTTAATCTACCATTTACTGTAGATGCACCGCCAGTTTCAATATGCAGAAAAGATCCAGAAAGTGAAATAATGTCAAACCTTCCCTGAAAATTAAAACCACAGAAGGTTTAGAACACCATGATGCAAATAAATGCTTTTAAATAACAGATTCTAGTACATTTAGATGATTTTTAAATGCCATAATTTAAATATCTGAAAATGGTCTACACTGGTTATTACATCCCATGAAGCCCAAGACATTAATATGATCACATTTTCTATAAATCACATTATTTTTAAACAATTATTTGAGACTCAAAACTTCATATGCCGGAAATTCACGACTAAAGTAAAAAGAAAGTGATGATTAAGAATATATACAAAAAATTTAATCTTTAAGGAAAACTTTTCAATAATAATTGTTATTTATTTAATACAAAATTCTGATGCATTAGGAGACAAAAAAATCCTACACTACAAGCAAAGCAAGAAAACCAATGAATCAGATTACTTGGCTTGTCACCGATATACTTATACAGGACCATGATAAACTAATTTGAATGATATGAGGTCCTTCGCTCCCAGATATTTTCGAGATCCCTTTAACCAGAATAGTTATAGTTGAGGAGAATTGGGCTATAAGCTGCAGGGAAATAATTGCTGCAAATAAATCTTTCTTTACCTCTGAAAGACTTATTCTTAAGCAAATCATGTTTTATCACATCCATACCAAGTCTAGCCAAGTCTACTAATGCTTCTAATCCAATTAAACTTTAGACCTATATCTTGTTGTAGTTTCTTGCACGAGTTCATAGTAAAAAACTTGATAACAGGCTGCAAAAGGTTTTTTAATAGCTCGTACCTCCTAATCAAAGTACATTTCTCAAAGGAAGATTGGTTAGTGACTGTTCAATGTTTATGAACTATAACGGAACTCCAAAAATTTATCTGCCTCCCCTCTTTCTCTACTACATTTTTTCTCCCTCAAATGAGCCTTCACAACATAAATTACTAACATAAGGGACCCGAAACATCAAGAGAAAGCAACTTTTGGACATGAATTGGATGCAGCTGATGCAACTTATTGATAAATATAGCTTTAAGACCTGCTTACATAACTAATATATTTTCATATTTTGTACCTTCAGTTAAGCTAATAACATCCTGTCTGTTTGAGCTGCAGGTCAAAAGGCCGTTATGTCAGGCGCCTATCAACTCCAAAACCACCGAAAGAAGCAGCAGCCTTTGTTGATATTTTGAAAGAAAACAAAAGAACGGGCCCCACTGCTACAGTAAAATATTGATATTTTATTGTGCATAGTGTTTTTCCAAAAACTATAAATAGGGCTCCAAATCCTTAAGGAAATCTCATTTTTATTGTGCATAGTGTTTTTCCAAAAACTATAAATAGGGCTCCAAATCCTTAAGGAAATCTCATCCCAAAAACTTCTTCTTATATAGAAGAGTGTGAGAGAAAAAATAGAGAGAGTATCTCCTTAGAAAGAGAGATTGTAACTCCAGAGTTTTCTCCTCATAGTAGATTCTTCTATCCTTACCCGTGGACGTAGGCAATCAAGTGCCGAACCACGTAAATCTGTGTGTCTATCATTTTATCTTTACTTTTGCTTTACTATTGCTGCGACCCTGCTCTATTGGGCCCCGGGTTTGTTCCAACAAGTGGTATCAGAGCCAACTTAGAGTACTTGTATATATCTACTTATCGTATGCTCTGTGGCTGCCACCAACCTCCACATTAGAAAATAAGTTAGGTTATCACTTACCCTTTGGAGGTGACGGGTACTATTCACGGATACGGTTACTGTTCATAAATACAGTACTATTTACGTGAAATAGTAAGAAGTTACTGTTCGTGGTAGAAGCAATGGCGGCGAAGTTCAAGATCGAGAAATTCGACGGGAGTAATTTCTCACTGTGGAAGTTGAAGATAAAGGCTATCTTGAGAAAAGATAATTGCTTGGCGGCGATCGGTGCAAGGCCGGACGACATCACAGATGATAAAAAGTAGAACGAGATGGATGAAAATGCTATTGTAAATCTCCATCTGGCATTAGCAGACGGGGTGCTGTCAAGCATAGAGGAGAAGAAGACAGCAAAGGAGATCTGGGATACTCTAACAAAGCTATATGAGGCGAAATCCATGCACAATAAAATCTTCTTAAAAAGGAGACTTTACACTCTGAGGATGGCGGAATCTACATCGATGACCGACCACATCAACACCCTAAACACACTGTTCTCCCAACTCACAACGTTGGGATATACAGTTGGTGCGAATGAACGTGCAGAACTTCTACTTCAGAGTCTACCTGACTCGTATGATCAACTCATCATCAACCTGACGAACAACGTCCTCACGGACAATCTAGTCTTCGACGATGTTGCAGCCGCTGTTCTGGAGGAAGAAAATCGGCGCAAGAACAAGGAAGACAGGCAGACAAGTTCGCAGCAAGCGGAGGCCTTGTCGGTGACGAGAGGAAGATCAACAGAACGTGGCTCCAGTGGGAGTCATGCCCATGGTAGATCGAAATCACGAAGTAATAAGAATATCAAATGCTACAATTGTGGCAAAAGAGGGCACGTCAAATCGGAGTGTTGGCACAACAAGAAGAGTGGAGATAAAATATCTTCAGAGCCATCAACATCTCAAGGATGCGTTGTCAGCACGTCAGATGATGGTGAAATTCTATTCAGTGGAGCAACCACTGTTGATGAAGGTAGAAAGAAGTTTGCTGATGTCTGGCTTCTAGATTCAGCAGCCTCTTGGCACATGACCTTCCGGAGAGAATGGTTTCACAAATATGAACCTATCTCAGGAGGATCTGTATTCATGGGGAATGATCATGCCTTGGAGATTTGTGGTATTGGTACTATCAAAATCAAAATGTTTGATGGTATAATACGCACTATTCAAGATATGCGACATGTGAAAGGCTTAAAGAAGAATCTATTGTCTTTGGGACAATTAGATGAGCTCGGGTGCAAAACTCATATAGAAAATGGAATCATGAAGATTGTTAGAGGAGCGCTTGTGGTGATAAAAGGAGAAAAGATAACTGTAAATCTGTACATGCTCAAGGGAGAAACCTTGCAGGAAGCTGATTCATGTGTGGCATCAACCAGCCGTGGAGAAGAACAAACCATGATGTGGCATCGCAAACTAGGCCACATGTCAGAACGAGGCTTGAAGATTCTCTCTGATCAGAAGCTGCTTCCTGGACTTAATTCGGTAGCTCTTCCATTCTGCGAGCATTGTGTTACAAGTAAGCAGCATCGACTGAAGTTCAAGACGTCGAGTTCTAGAAGCAAGACAATTCTGGAACTGATTCATTCTGATGTATGGCAAGCACCAGTTACATCCTTGGGAGGAGCAAAGTACTTTGTGTCCTTTATTGATGATTACTCCAGGAGATGTTGGGTGTATCCTATCAAGAAGAAGGCGGATGTGTTCTTAGTTTTTAAAGCCTACAAAGCGCGGGTCGAGCTCTTTTGGCGGCAAACCCGACAACGGATACGGCAGAAGTATATGATGACTTGCCGGATGAAACCCACGAGTTTAACAGTACATCGCACCAACAAGTATGGTAATTATACTTCGATGGTGCTTCGAGGGCAGTTAATGTGGCAATAACATTCCTAGCATTCTGCAAGCAAGAAGGCATCAAAAGACAATTCAGTACGGCTTATACTCCTCAACAAAATAAAGTGACGGAGCGGATGAACAGAACTCTATTGGAAAGAACAAGAGCTATGTTGGCAACTACAAATCTGGATAAAGTCTTTTGGGCGGAAGCAGTAAAAACCGCCTGTTATGTGGTGAATCGATCTCCATCAACTGTAATACAATTGAAGACGCCGATGGAGATGTGGACTGGCAAACCAGCTGATTATTCCAACCTCCATATATTTGGAAGTCCAGTGTACGTAATGTACAATGCCCAAGAAATTACAAAGCTGGATTCAAAATCCAAAAAATACATATTCTTGGAGTATGCTGATGGAGTAAAGGGGTATCGCCTGTGGGATCCCACTACCCGCAAGGTTATCATCAGCAGAGATGTTATCTTTGTAGAGAACCAACTACAAAGTGAAGAGAAAGAAAGCAGTTCGAGGAAGGACTCAGAGACTATAGCTGTTCAGGTAGAAGATTATCCGAATTTTTCTGAAGCAACACCGGAGCATGATGTACAAGAACCGGTCGAGTCCGAGGCTCCAGAAGTTCGAAGGTCAACTCGTGAGAGAAGACCACCGACTTGGCACTCGGAGTATATTACGGAGAGTAATGTTGCATACTGTCTTCTAATAGAAGATGGGGAGCCATCAACTTTTCATGAAGCTATAAATGGCACAGATGCATCTTTGTGGATAGCAGCAATGCAGGAAGAAATTGAAGCTCTCCATAAGAACAAGACTTGGGAACTTGTGTCACTGCCACAAGGAAGAAAGACCATTGGAAACAAATGGGTCTACAAGATCAAGCGAAACGACAATGATCAGGTGGAGTGATATCGTGCTAGATTGGTGGTAAAAGGATATGCTCAGAAATAAGGTATTGATTTTAATAAAATATTTTCTCCTGTAGTTCGACTAACAACAGTCCGAATAGTCCTGGCTATGAGCGCTATATTTGACTTACATCTAGAGCAGCTAGATGTGAAAACAACATTTCTTCATGGAGATCTTGAAGAAGAAATTTACATGCTCCAACCAGAATTCTTCATGGAGATCTTGAAGAAGAAATTTACATGCTCCAACCAGAAGGTTTTGAAGAAAAAGAAAAAGAAAAAAAGAACTTGGTTTGCAGATTGAACAAATCTCTGTACGGTCTAAAGCAGACGCCGAGGTGTTGGTATAAGAGATTTGATTCATTCATCATGAGCCTTGGATACAACAGACTTAATTCAGACCCTTGTGCATATTTCAAGAGGTTTGGTGAAAATAACTTTGTTATCTTATTGTTGTATGTTGACGACATGTTGGTTGCAGGCCCCAACAAAGATCGTATCAAAGAATTAAAGGCTCAGTTGGCTAGGGAATTTGAAATGAAGGATTTAGGATCTGCAAACAAGATTCTAGGGATGCAAATTTACCGAGACAGAATTAATAGGAAGATTTGGCTTTCTCAGAAGAACTATTTGAAGAAAATCTTGCGACGTTTTAACATGCAAGATTGTAAGTCAATTTCTACCCTATTTCCTGTTAATTTTAAGTTATCCTCCAGTATGAGTCCTAGCAGTGAATAAGAGAGGATGGAGATGTCTCGAGTACCGTATGCATCAGCAGTGGGAAGCTTAATGTTCGCGATGATTTGTACAAGACCAGACATTGCACAAGCAGTGGGAGTGGTTAGTCGATACATGACGAATCCTGGTAAAGAGCATTGGAATGCTGTAAAGAGGGGTCTAAGATACATTCAAAGAACCTCAAATGTTGCATTATGTTATGGGGGATCTGATTTTATTGTCAGTGGATATGTTGATTCTGATTATGCAGGTGATCGTGATAATAGCAAATCCACCACAGGTTATGTGTTTGCACTTGCTGGCGGAGCTGTAAGCTGGGTTTCAAAACTGCAGTCAGTTGTGGCTACTTCAACAACAGAAGCAGAGTATGTAGCAGCTACACAAGCTAGTAAAGAAGCGATGTGGTTGAAGATGGTGCTGGAGGAACTCGGCTATGAACAAAAGAAGATTTCTCTATTTTGTGACAGTCAGAGTGCTTTGCATTTGACAAGAAATCCAGCATTTCATTCAAAGACCAAGCACATTCGAGTTCAGTATCACTTCGTTCGTGAGAAAGTGGAAGAAGGAACAGTGGATATGCAGAAAATTCACACCAAAGACAACCTAGCAGATTTTTTGACAAAAACAGTCAATACTAACAAATTCATTTGGTGTCGATCCTCCTGTGGTCTGTCTGAGACGTAAGCAACATGAAGATGGCAAGATAAAAAGAATGGTGTGAAGATATGATTAATACTCAATCAAATCTTCAAGTGGGAGATTGTCATGCGCCTATCAACTCCAAAACCACCGAAAGAAGCAGCAGCCTTTGTTGATATTTTGAAAGAAAACAAAAGAACGGGCCCTACTGCTACAGTAAAATATTGATATTTTATTGTGCATAGTATTTTTTCAAAAACTATAAATAGGGCTCCAAATCCTTAAGGAAATCTCATCCCAGAAATTTCTTCTTATATAGAAAAGTGTGAGAGAAAAAATAGAGAGAGTATCTCCTTAAAAAGAGAGATTGTAACTCCAGAGTTTTCTCCTCATAGTAGATTCTTCTATCCTTGCCCGTGGACATAGGCAATCAAGTGCCGAACCACGTAAATCTGTGTGTCTATCATTTTATCTCTACTTTTGCTTTACTATTGCTGCGACCCTACTCTATTGGGCCCCGGGTTTGTCCCAACACGTTAGCCATCTCCAACCAATATCCATGGATTCAAGCAATCCAGTCAGGCATTTTTCTAAATGCTAAGGGCTTTTGAATTGTAGCAAATGAAAATGTGTGGAACCCAACATTTTGTGATTCTCTTCAGAAGAAATATATTTTGAATCCCTGGAGTGAAGCACACCAACTTTCCAATGTTTCATGTTACGCAAAGTTCTATGCGATGCTGAAGCGATTGAGATTAATTAAAAAAAGCTGTTTTCACTTACTCTTTTTATAGTATATTTCCTGTAGAAGAATAGGTACAGAGAGAGCACTCAAACTTATTATCTTCTTAGAAGAAGAACACTACTCACATGTTTCCCAATACGAAGGGAAAATGGCTGGATATTGAAGATGAGACGCTATATAAGAAAGGTGAAACATAACGCCATTTGAGCTGCGTATAATTAACATGATAATTACCTCATATGCCACATTGACCCCTACCACGGCTGGTTGGCAAAGCAACACATCAGAAATTGAACCAGAGGCTGAGAGAATGCAAACTGCCCGCTTGTGTTGTTGGACAAATGACATAACGTTCCGTGCCACATCCTTTTTGAATGATAAGAGTACAGATGATCACAAAAGAGATCACAGCAAACTATAATTAGGAATACTCGAAAAGTAGCAAAGGGAAGTCACAAAGTCTTTATCTATATACTTATAGCCAAACACACATCCTCTTTGTATAAAATGCAACTTCAAAATATTTACTATGTTAAAGCATTGAATTCTTCTTGATTTTCAGGAGCTTAATTTATCATATAACCGATAATATAACAGTTAGTTTGGCAAGTTCCAGCAGGGTGCTTCATAAACAAGATGCACGGAGGCCACTATTTATGAGATGCAATTTAAATTGTTCTAAGACTTTAAATTCCAAGCCTAGCCTGCTTTTGGGCAGCAAATCCTGTTATAAACATGCAGGCCAGTATAAATAATGGTATCCTGTTCCACCTTGATTCTTTCACCTTATAGTTTCCATCATAAGTTACTGTAATTCTCACTGCAACGTTTGTTGTGTTCACCCTTCATCTAAAAATTTTCATCTGGGATGATTTTTTTTGTAAGATTGCTGCTTTTTGCATCATATTAAAGTACGTATCATGTGGCCTGTCTTTCCTGTAGGTAGGCCAGCTAGACATTTGGTACCAATTCTTAGTGGTTTCAACTGAGTTGATGGTCAAGATACAAAATGATGATCATTTCTTCTTCGAAGCTTTGATCAGCAGAGGAGCCGATTTTTAATTGCAAAGACTTTGATGTTAATTATGAGCCAGTAGTAAAAAGAATCAAATAACTAATAATATAAATCATTCAACAAAGAAATTTGGAGGGTTGCTCATTTCAATGAGCTTAGCTGCAGAACCATAAAGGTAGCTTGACTCCTTTTCTTGTCCATGTTTTCCTTGGACAGGAATTTGGCAGAGAGAGACTTCAGGTTAATGACTGACCAGTTGGTCATAATTGTCATAGAATTCACAGAGTTTCTCTATATGAAGCTGAGCTCCATACTTAACCTTCATATTGATAGGAAAAGACTGGCTGGTTTTTTCGAAAGGGTCTGGTATTAGAGAGAAATACTGATAATCAAGAGATAAGACAAAAGGAAAAAAACAGCTCGGGGTGAGTGAACCTGATGTACCAGATCAAGGAAAGCAGGATAGTTTTTAAACCATGAAAGAAAAGAAGAAGAAGAAGAGGAGGAGGAGAAGAAAAAGGAAGAAGAAAGAAGAGTCGAAAAATTTGACTGTCAGCTATAGTATTACATTCAGGAATATAATAGGAATCTACAGTCGATTATGGTACACATTCTGGTACACTATGAAGCTCATGCTTCAACAAGGATATGTAGATTAGCATGTTGGCTAATATAAAATAGGGTAAATTACACTAAACTCTCAAGAACTTTTAGCATTTTGCAGTAAACCCTAATAACTTTCAAAAGTGCACTAAACCCCAATAACTTATGTGTTTTGCAGAAAATCACCAATTAGTTTCTATGTTTTACAGATAACTCTTATACATTAGAACCAAAAAACAACATAAAAAGGCATTTTGAATTTATTGGGGATTCAGTGTAATTTACCCAAAAGATATTTGGGGGCCATCTGCAAAAGTTATTGGGGGTCTAGTGCGATTTTGAAAATTATTGGGAATTTACTACAAAATGCTAAAAGTTCTTGGGGGTTTAGTGTAAATTACCCTATAAAATACTTCCTTAACAATCAATATCATTTAATACTTCCCTTTGACATTACAACTCTGTGAATGTAAACGATAACACAAAGTTAGTCGTTAGACAGCAAAGCATTAATAAATCAACAAACCGGATAAAATTCATGCTACAATATATTAACCATTACAGGTGTTCATTTCAATTTTCAACATAATCGTTTTGTAAACCGGGAAACTTTGTTTGGCCTTTAAAAGCTTCTTGTGTTCACCTTGTATTTGGCATATATTATAGAATTTCTTCTTGCCAAATAATGTTAATGTCAACAGAATGGATTATCAACTAGTGAAAGTTTGCATTAGAATGGCTTCTCTAAACAGAAATTTGCTTTGAATCGCCAGATTGGTTTACACCACTGAAGGTTTCATATCAAGTTGTAGTATAGCATTGTCTCTTATGACTCTTCTACCACCGTCAAAGCTCCAGATGGTTGTTGAGCATAGGCTCACAACTTCATTATTCTCAAACTTTGAACTGCTCACAGAGAATGAGGATATACTAAAAGAGGAAGTCAGTTCTGAGGATAACTTTGAAATAGAGACTGCATTCCAGAATACACAATGCTGCACGAAATGATTGCACTTGTGCATATTGTAATTAGGATCAGGCATGACTAACTACATAACAGAAACAATGTCACTTATTTGCTTTAATTGAACGAGAACTCTTATATTAATAAAGGTTTGTGAAATCATAAATTTCAAAGAGAAGCAAAAGGCCAGACCTCTCCAGCAGCAACCATAATGACATGTGGTGTAAATCCTTTCCCTGCATTCCCTGCATTAAGCAAAAAGACTGAAGAACCAAAAACATATGCTACCTATCAATTTTCTGCAAAGTAGATAAAATAAGAGTAAGATTGACTTTCAGGAATCAGATTTCTCTCCCTAATATGGAATGTTCTGATATATAATATGAGTCTATCCACAAGCACCAAAAATAAAAGAGAAAGTTGCTTATTATACACAAAATTGGAAAGCCCCTCACAGCAATCATGTTTACATTACTACAAAACACAGAATATATACAAAATTATGATTTATTTTGAACAAGGTCTCAATCTGAGTACACGTGAGAGAAGAACACACGATAGAGTAAATTATAACACACGAACAGTAGACCTAGCCCCAGCTACTTCGTGTCAGATTATACAAATGGACAAATTTTACCTCAGACTGCAAGAAAAATGGATGGACATTTGAGTTAAACTAACTCCTTCACAAGCATAAGACAAAGAGAAATGTGTGCTAGAATTCTCGAAAATGTTACTACTTAACCAGTGATATATCCACATTGTGAAGATCTATTTCTTCTGTTTATTCATTGCATAAGCATCCAAACAGAGGCAGAGCAAGGATTTTCTTCTCTTTTTTTCTTTCTTGGCAAATTTGAGAATGCATAATAAATTTTCACATATGCTAGTAGGTGAAAGAAAAAAACTATAAGCATTTTCACAGTTCTACTATTAAATGCAAAAACTACACGAAAATTGAAACTCCAATTCCTTATTCGACTTGAAATTCAAAAGAAAAAAAAGGAAAATGTAATGTGCGTAGACATATAGTTTTTTAATTAAAATAGTAGTCTTTCAAATCTTTTAAGTAATTTGAATTAGTCCTGCTAGTTATTCGCTGGTTGAAATTGAGGAAATATTGCAACATCTTCAATATTTTTAGGTGCAAGAATGGTGTTAACTATATGCATTCAAATCCAAACCACAAAAAATCTTCACTGGAGCATAAATTGTAAAAAAAAAACATGCAACATTTGACTTATGTCCACTAGTTTGGAACCTATTGGTGGATTTTGATGTTAATTTTGGTTGATTTGGTAATTCGGCAATTATCCGACCCTGGTTAACCATTGTCCAATCATCGTCAACAATTTAGTCGGTAAATATGACAAAGAGACTAATTTTAAAACACTTCAAAGATTTGGGGGACTAATTTCAAAGTATGAAGATTTGGTAAACTAGTTCAAATATGAAAGATTTGGGGGACTAATTTTAAGTAAGAAAGATTTGGAACTAATTTCAAATGTGAAAGATTTGGGTGACTAATTTCAAATATGAAACATTTGGATAGCTAATTTCAAATATGAATGATTTGGGGGTACTTATATGGAAAGACCCCATATACCTAATATAAATATGAAGTATGTTTGTTGGGGGTGATGGCCACCCCCTAGCTCCGCAGGTGCTTCTAAAATCAACATCTGACAGATAAAATAAATAACTAACATTTAAAAAATTGCTAAAACGAGAAAATTTAGGCTACAAAATCACCTAAACCCAACGCAGAGTCATATACTATTCAATTTTATAGTAGTTGCACATTCTCATAGACTTTGGAGTATCACAAGCCTGTAAAATCACCAACCTAAAATCCCTGGATATTGCTAAAAAGGCCATGGTGTTGAGATCAGCACTTTATGACTTAAAATGGATACCAAATTTTCGCGATACTAATCGATCTACGAAAAATAAGCAAACGGAAGAAGATCAAGAATCGAGAGAGGGCTGACCAAGAGCCGGGGGCTGGGGTTTCTTGGAGGAGTGGGAGTTCAACTGATCCTTCTTGCTT